ACATAGGAAGCTCCATTGTGATTATGGAGTCTTTAAGTACCTGGGGGAGCTTTCATGGGGGGGTCCTCTTTGTGACTATATAACTCGGGGGTCTGTGATCCAATATTCACCAAACCTTCAGGAGTTGTAGAAAGTGTCCGAGGAAGCTTTCCTGCACTTTTGGTGTCTCTAGGTTGTTGTTGGGGGGGGGCAGTGTTATAGCTGGTTAAAATGCAGATGAATCGATGAATCGATCCGTCGATTTGTCAAAGAATATTCGTATATTTGTAGATCTGTTAATGAATAACGGATGTAGATAATGAATAATGGATCAAAACAGAGTGCCATTTTTTTTATTTATCCCCATCTCTAGTAGGGACCAATCACAATGTGTCTCAGCCTCAGTTCAGTTTCAGGAAAATGAACGCATAAATTTACCTATAGCTGTATGAGACAAGCCAATGTATCACAGCGTTGGGGAGCCTACTGGAGGCTTGTGGGGGGGGGAACCATATGCCAATGCTCTTCCACTTTGCATTTACTGAATAGCCATTATAGTTATAATTTTTAAGTAACTTGTTACTTTCAAATTTTTCAGAAGTAACTATAGGTATACCTTTTTTTTCAAAAATCAGACTAAAATACCAGCTTGATGTATAGAATGCACTCCCTTTTGCCCCATTGTTTCCTTGACACTTCCACAGAGCACAAAAGGCTACAGCATGAAGTACTGTATGAACTGCAGTGTGAGACAGCATTCTGACTGTGCAATGTTTCTTCTGAGCCACTGACTTAGGCTGCACAGCCACAACTATTAGATTTGCACCATGAAAGAAATGGCATTACCCTTCTCTGAGTAACAAATTTAACTTACTGCTTTTCTTGTTGCAAAAAGGAATGGTAACTAGTTATTTCCAGACTTATAAGAGGTAATATATTCTGCACACTATTCTGAGCTACCATGAAGCTTTAAAACACCCAGCAATCCTGGGCAAGACTGAGTTTCCTGCAGCATCTTTTCCATAGCTGTTGTTAAATCACAGAATCTTATTAACTCATCTGAGATGACACTGGGAGCCTGAGCCAAGTCATGACAATACAGTGTGGTGTTTCGAGGGTTCCATGTGATTTGTTAGCAATTTATATTTCTAGTTCTTAGCAGAGTGAATGCAACATTTAATACTTCTTCCCATGTATGTCCCTGGAACCTGCATCTGATGGGGAGTAAGGCAATTGGCTGTAACAGAATAGAAAACTGAAAAACAGAGAATCAGGGTCTGATATAAGCAGTCGCTCCCCATGACATCCTCATTGACTGTATTCATGCATAAAGACGAAACAGAAGCTTAGAGTTGCTAATAGTGATGCATGTCATCCTGGTTGACAGAATCAGTTCTGAGGGCAAGACTAGACAGTTTGAGCCAAAGGCCCAACCCCAAATGAATTAATTAGTGTGTGAATGACGAGTGTTAATAATATCATTCCTACTGTTAGTATTTTCTGCATTCAATTTCCTTTTGACCTCATTGTCTGTAATCCCCTTCTCATCAATCTGTAACTTACTCACACAAACATCAAACCCCCCCCCCCAATATACACCCACTGTTTGGAATTGGAGATTTTTAACCAGTGTAGGTGAATGAGGAAATGCCTGTTAAGCATATGATGCAAATATGTTGGTCATGTAATGGGCCAAGAAGATATGTATTGAAGAAGAAATGCTCTGATGTGATTATGCTTTATTGACTTAGAGAAAGCTACTAACAAAGTCCAACACAGAAAGCTGATGGGGTTGTTAATAAATAAAGGCCTTGATTTAGGAGATGCTTGTATATTTGTAAACCTGTACTGGCACCAAATACTACAGTGAAAGTTGAAGATTAGAAAACAGAGGATATGAGATGAAGTATATCTTCACCCCTGGTCTTCAGAATATACTCTAAGGATATTTTAGATAAGCTGATTCAAATGACCATAATATTATAAATTGAGAGGTTATGAACTATAGTCCATATGTCGATGGTAATAGCATTCCTAGCTGATATTTTAGATGGTCTGCACAGGTTCCTCAGTAAATGAAGTAAGTAGTAGGAATGATCTAAAATAAATGTTTAAAAACCAAATTCATGACAAACAGTAAAAAGCACAAGAAATGAAATTGAAGATCCAAAATGAAAGTGTGGTGCATGTTGGCAAAGCTGGAATTTGGTTCAACAGTGGAACCATAGCTATGCAATAAAAATCAGTATAGAAATGGCAGAACACAAGTTCTTTAAGATAAATAATGTAAAATGCAACAAAAACCTAAAATTCGTTTTGAAAAGGTTCATTGTAGGATGTTGGACATTCTTGGTTCCACAGTATGGCACAGAGTTATGGACTTGAAACATTGAAATGAAGAGTTATTCCAGGATGCTAAGAATTTCTTGGATTGTGAGGGTGATCAACAAAGAAGAGTAAGGTGAATGAGGAAAGACCAATTAAACATAAGACAAGTAAAATGCAGAAACCTCAGATATTTTGGTCATGTTATAGACCACAGAAAGTACAGATTGTTTTAACTATACATTCAGGGTAAAATAAATGGGGAAAGAACTGCAGGAAGAAGAACATCTTGACAGACAAACATTGGAGATTGGTTTGGATGCAACATAACATCATTTATATTTGTCACATGCGAAGTCAAGATAGTCATGATGACGTGTAACCTCTGGTAGGAGAGGAACAACAAGAAAGTTAGAAACCAGAAAGTGGACTCTTGTGATATAAAAGAGGTGGATCATTCTGATCTGGAACGGGAAGGGTTTAGGAGAGGAATCACTGCCTTTTAATCCAAGAAACTAACTGGTTATAAGCAATTATGTTGTCTGTAACTAATTACTCTCAAGCTTTTTGATACTGGTGCCAATGCCAGGAATGCAGACTTGTTTCCCAGCATTCACATGATATTCCATTCATATGAGTAACAGCAGCATGTAGAGAGCCATTCTTTTCCCAGCTAGCACGAGTAAAGTTACCCATATTTAACTTTAGACATGTTGAATCTTTTTCACTTTATGGGCTTTTATAAAAAGCAAGCATCTCTTCCATGTGTTTGTAAGGCTGGTATACCTAGCATCCAATTTCCTTGAGAACAAAACTACAGTAAACTCAGCAGTTCCTACAGAGATACTTCCAGAGATGATCTCCCTATGGCAAGTGATTGCACTCATGCTACCCGCTGTATTGAACTAAATACCACGGGATATTGGTGAGGACAGCTCCAGGTTTTTGTTACCCGAAACACTAATAGGCAGAAGGCTATATATTAGTGGTTCTGATCACTCATCATCAAGCTGTTCTCAGTAGCAACATCCATATTGTCTTCTGGTCTGGGGCTCCTTTGATTTCAAAATACTAAACCTCCAGTTAAGCATCCTTAGATGTAATTGCCACAGGCTGCAATGGTTACTAACAGATACAGTGTTTGTTGCTACAAACATTTCTGGTAATGAGGTCCTCCTCGGGGTGGGAGTAGCTTTTGGATTCATGAGTACAGACACATGATCTGTGTATTAGACAGTTAGGTAAAGGTAAAGGTTCCCCTTGACAAATTTTTGTCCAGTCGTGTTCAACTCTAGAGGGTGGTGCTCATCCCCGTTTCCAAGCCACAGAGCCAGTGTTTTGTCCGAAGACAATCTTCCGTGGTCACATGGCCAGTGCGACTTAGACATGGAACACTGTTACCTACCCACCAAGGTGGTCCCTATTTATCTACTTGCATTTGCATGCTTTCGAACGGCTAGGTTGGCGGGAGCTGGGACAAGCAACGGGCGCTCACTCCGTCGCGTGGATTCGATCTTATGACTGCTTGGTCTTCTGACCCTGCAGCACAGGCTTCTGCGGTTTAGCCCGTAGCGCCACCACGTTCCTAGTATTAGATAGTTACTGCATCCCAATTAGGCAATCCGTCCTTGACTTGAAGGCTGATTTATTTGTAATGAAATCCATGAAAATGTGTTAATATGTGCTCCTGTCTTGATCAAGCTTAATGAAATAACTACCTCTCATTGACACTGAGTCTGCTGAGAGGTCTGCTGAACCTCAGACTCTCTCCTTTGCGTGGGTTGCTAAGAATAGTTTCCAGATGCTTTTCTATTAAAACTGAAACAGCTAAGCCATATATTCAGTGTGCACGTGTTTTTGGCATGTCTTTCCTTTACTGTTTTGCAAGATTCAGATCTCCAAGTCATCAGCAGCTAGCATTTAAGTATTATGGGTTTACTCTAGAATAAGGGCTCATCCAGACAGAACATGTGCTCCTCTCTGTTTTATGCTGGTTGGTGCCCTTTTATGCCACCTACACATAGATCTTATTGGGGTTTCTGTCCCACACAGACGGGACTGAAAGACATCTAATTGTCCCAGCGCATGCCTTTTCCTCCCCTTATCATGCAAATTAACTTGTTTTCTTTTGGGATTGGTCAATGGGAGGTAAATAAGAGACTTGTATCTGTGTCAAACCACACACAAAACTCCATGGAATCCCTATTGACATCTTGTGTGTTGCCTTTATCATTTCATATGAAACTAATATTCTTTTCCTTTCGACATCATTAGAGGGCCAACTTATTTCCATGTTTTCAAGAAAAAGGCCAAGAGGCTTCCATTGCAATCCTTTCCTTTTGCAATAGTACTCTGGCTATGTACGGTATACTTAGCACCTTCAGCAACATTTCAGCTGTGTGTTGCCTTTATCATTTCATATGAAACTAATATTCTTTTCCTTTCGACATCATTAGAGGGCCAACTTATTTCCATGTTTTCAAGAAAAAGGCCAAGAGGCTTCCATTGCAATCCTTTCCTTTTGCAATAGTACTCTGGCTATGTACACTTAGCACCTTCAGCAACATTTCAGTATAGTTCTAGTATTGCTCAAAGCATACCTGTGACATGGGCACAGAGCAAAATAAGGGAAGAACAAGGGGTGTGGAAACACTTTTAAGGTTCCTCTGACAAGGTATGTTTTTCACTGTACATACCGTCAATTCCAGGGCTTCATTAAGGAGGCCATTGCGCTTACTGTGAAGGTAGGCATTTGAACTGCCTGTCTTGGCCACACGAATCCTGGCCAGCCGGGCTTTCTGTGGAAGGAAATAAAGTAGCAAGTTGTTAGACTTGAATCTGCCATCTGTGTTAATTTTGTGTGCGTGTGTGTGTAAATAATGTGTGTGTAAATAATAAGAAAAGAAAAAAGAAAATGTCAAAATATATTGCTCATACAAATTGATAGTAGTTTTATTACTTCCTAAATTTTTAAAAGAGTGTTTTAAACATATTTCTGCTTCAAAAAAAGAATTTTTTGGTCAATTAATTTTTTTAATATGTGACCTTCATCATGGTAGAAACATATTTTTCAGCACAGGAAACCAGCATTTCCGACAGAACACAAGCTGGTGAACTGACGTTCTGGGAGTGAAAAACTGTTGGGCAGAGCTGACCTGGACTATGAAGCTTGTAAACCAAGTTCTGCCTCAGTTTTAGACTCTTTGAGTAACTTTGATGAAGTCAGTATCTCCCAACTTCATTCTGGTGTTAATAGGGTGGCATAAGAATTGGATGGATGAATGAATGAATGAATGAATGAATGAATGAATGAATGAATGAATGAATGAATGAATGAATGAATGAATTTGGAACATGGGTGCTACTGGAGTAATATGGAATATAGAGGTTTACTGGGAAAATGAATATGGGAAAGATTGAAGTCATTTTGCAAAATTGTGCTGAAATGATATGCACCATAAGGAAAATCAGAGCTCAAAAGAATGGTCAAATTCTGATGAGCAGGCAGAAGGATATTGCTGAGTTCCTGCTTTGATCTCAGGTGTTCCCTGACTCACCCACAATGAGACCGACTGTGGGCAAATTGCAGGTCAGTAGGGAGAGACCTGAGATTCAGTGAGGAAGTAGCAACCTCCTTCTGCTGGTGGTGTCATTATTAGACTGTGAGATATCTTCGGAAGTGAATGGCCCTGTCTTCTTTTGTATGTGACCATTCTATTCCTATCCTGATGATGCAGAACTGAAAATATCCAAACAGCAGCAGTGACACTATCTCCTCACCAAGATTAATGGAAAGTCACATAATATAATGAACAACTTTTTGTGTCACATCATTTTTGAAGGGAGAAGGGCCAGAATGCTTTGCAATTTGGACAACAAAACTGGAGTTAAGATCAAGTAGTAGGTCACAACTAAAGTTGTCCCACTGAATCAACAGAACTTTCATAGGTGTTGACTAGATATAGGAGATTTGTCTTTGTCTTCCAAGGGAGATGAAGATGAATCTCACTGGCACAGGTAGCCAGCCTGATTAATGCCCACCTCCAGAACCTGCCAATCCCCTTACTCCTTGCTGCATGGAGGGCATTATCAACAGCATGCCAATCGTGGCAGTGGCCCAGCTGGCGCTGCCCTGCCTCGCTGCTCGGCTGGCCACTTCAGCAAGGGGGTGGGATGAAGTTGAGCCCCTGAGTGGTCTGCCAAGCACAGAGGCAAGGCAGTGTCAGCTGTTCTACTGCTATGACTGCCACACTATTGATGACACTGGTTGTGTGTGGCGAACAGTAAATGAACTGGTGGGTTCTGGGGGCAGGTGTTAATTGGGCCAGCCACATGTCCCGGTGAGATTCATCTTCATCTCCCCTGGGAGACAAAGATAAATTTCTCATGTCTAGTGTTGACTCACCAAATCCTCATTGATTCAAATGGGTTCTCTCTAGTTTTGCTTTCCACTAGATTTCAGTCTATATTAGTTTGTAAAGAGACCATGAGTAAATCATTATCTTGTTATATACTGTACTGCAGATGGGCCTTTATCACACCCTACAGTGACAACAATATCTTTTATCCTTCCCTTCCTACTTGGATTATGAAGGCTTCTCTGAAATTCAAAACCATAGCACATTAGTTTGAGTTAGCTGACCATGGAACTAGAAATTGTACCAATGTCTGCATGTTTTACTTTTTTCCTCTGAACCCCCCTCCCCCCTTTAGTGCAACTATTTATTTTTAGTTATTTTAAGAGGACATACAGGTTAGTCTGTTGTGGCAAAAGCAGAGTTGTTTCTGAAGAAGTGGGCTACAATCCATTAAAGCTTATGCCAAAATACATTAGTCTTTAAGTGTCACACAGCTTCTTGCTGAGTAAATCAAGACCCTAATCAATCTATTTTTTCCTTGTATGTATTAATGTTATGTTTCTCCTGAAATCCATTTAGCAGTTTAGTGAGAAAAAAGTTAAATGGTATTTCAGTGTATTTTCATCATCCAGCTGAAAAGGCACTGTGCTTCGAGGAACTGATGGTGCATTTACAAGAATCAGCTGATTGCAAAGGGTTACAATCTTTTGTGAAACACAGCAGCACCTTTTTTGGGTACAGACAAAGTATACTGGTGTTGCCATGGTTACAAAGCATCTGTCCTTGTACTGACTGCAGACATGAGTCTCCTTCTGAACAGAGGTCAGTTTATGCTTTCCACGGTTAATAATATTAAGGTAACAATATAATTTTTAAAAATCTATATTTTCTACAATCGCATTCCCCCTCACTCCATGAATGACTTCAGATGGATATTTCATTTTTGTTTTCGGAAGAAAGATCAATGCTGTTAACTCGTACAATAAGTGACAAAATGAGGAACAGTAAAAAAGTGGTCGTTATTTTAGTTTGGTGGGGCTGCTTTATCTATCTAACTTAGTATTACCTGCACTAACTAATTTTTCCTTATATACTGCCTCATAGTGCTTAAAGCAATTTCTGGGTGATTTACAACTTAATTATAGAGCTGCACATTCCCACCTACCCACCCCTGTGAGCTGAGCACTTAGTTTAATGACTTCAGAAAGAGGGAAAGCCGAGTCAGCCTCCATCCAGCTACCTGAGTCTCTTGGTATCAAACTCAGGTCATGAACAGAGTCTTGACTGCAGTACTGTAGTTTAACCACTGCATCATGAGTACTGTCCTGCCCTAGTATGTGAGCAGACTTGCAGGACTTTTGAAATCTGAAATTTTTAATTTTGTGAAGGCAGACATTTCTCACTGATACTGCTATGCAGGGATCATTCATCTAGGAAAATGTGCCAGGTTTCCTAGACTGTTTCCATATTTTTTTCTATTTTTATCCTCTTTTGCTCTGTCCATACTATATTGTCAAAGGGACCCAGTTCTTAAAAACCCATCATATGATTTGCAGGTTATCTTTCATTTCAAAATCACCATGGTTCAAACAAAGCAATTTTGTTAGTATAATCACACTGAGTCACATTCTATATCATCTCCATAGACCACCTGCTGAAATTCAGCCTTATGTACCATCCACCTGCAGCCACTGACTTCTCATAATACACTGGTGGGCATCTTTTGTACCGTAGCTCCTACCAGTGACGCTGGGACTAAATGACACAATCATTGGCCTGGCAAGTCACATGAGTCTTCCTGACAGTGAATGCTAATCACATGGGAAAAACCCATGATCTGCTTGACTAAGGCAGCTACATCATCTATGAAACTGTATCTATTCCCACTTCACCTGCACAGCTGATTAAATGAAAGAATTCATTTAAGAGACAACATTAACTTGGCAGTATCAGAAAGCATAAGAAAGTGGAATTTAAACTAGGACAGAAGCCTACCATAAACTCCAAATAAGACTGTAATCCTATATTAATTTTCCTGCGAAATAAGCCACATGGAGTTTAGTAGGATTTACTTCTGAGTTGCTGTGTAGAGAATCCTGCTGTCAGTTGTTGCTATGTTATACTTGGAAATCAGTGAGCTATAATGGGGAGTATATTGCCCTTAGCACTTGTGAGACTCAGGTTTAATTCCCTAAAGATTTAATTACATTCAATATTTGCATTTATTGCATTTCAGTAACTGTTTTCTTAAACGATCTTTTAAGCTGCATAGGGTCCCAGTCATGGGAGGAAGACAGTATATCTGAATAAAATAAGATAAAATAGATACTTAGATATGAAACTCACTAAGTGATTTTTGCATGGGGCGCATCTCTCAGACATACCTACGTAACTCATGAGGTTGGTATTAGGATAAAAGGGGGATAGGAAATAATGTACACTACCTTGAGATCCTTGGAAGAAGAGCAGCATAAAAATGTAATGAATAACAGATACATGTTAAAATCACAGGGAATCATAAATATAAACAATATAAACAATCATTACCCACAAAACCTTTTGTCTATGCTGGCACTGAACTTTAGTGGGATGATGAGGCCTTGGTAAGTGTTGCACAACATTATACTAGAGAAAGAAAATGTCTGGATCCTTGACTACGGAATCCTTCAAACATCCTGGGATACATTTAGGTGCACGATTGCCCTGCATCATTCACATGCTTCTTTGTCTAGATATTCTTGTCTTCTGTTGGTGCTCATCTTGGGATTTCTCATTGTTTTTTCCCCATATTTTTAGCCCCTTTCACAAATGAATGCATGAAGGCAAAAATGATTGAATAATCGCACCACGTTTTTTGACCAAGCACCAGGATGGGCAAAGGACAATTCCGTCATCAGATTGCAACCGCCAACAGCTGTAGCCTGGGTGAGGAATGCTGGGAGTTGTGGTCCAATGACATCTGGAAGCTTCCACTCTGCCTATCCTGATCCAGACACACCTTTACTAGGGCTTCAGAGCCACTGCATCTCTCAGTTGAACCTACCTCACAGAAATAGATTTACTGTGGGTTCAATGGAGATGCGGGAAAGGTTTTTTATTTATTAATTATAGCATTGAGAGCATCCCTTTCCTCCAGCAAGCTGTCCTCCTCCCACTTTATGGCTGTCCTCGCACTTTATTCCCACACAACAAAACAGCGAGGGAGGTCAGGCTAAGAGACTGTGACTGGCCTAGGGTCACCCTGTGAATTTCACTGCTAAGTGGGGTTTGAAACTGGGTTTCCAGAGTGATAGACCAACACTTTATACCATTTACTAACTTCCCCTCCCAGAATTCCACAGCTACCATAGACACTGCATTCTGTTAGCTGTAATCCAAAAAAAGAAGTAACTTCTTCCATCTCTGGTTTTAAAGCCTGTGGAACTCACTAGAAATCCTGAGATTTGCCAGGAATGTCTAGACTGTGCTACTCACAGGCCATGTAGATTTCTAGCTCCTCCAGCTAATGCTTTTCATTAGCTTCTGAATATTTTTTCCTGAAAAATATACAGTCCCATCAACTGCAAGAATATCTAATTCTTCCATGTACCTGGTGCAAGACTGCATTCTTTACATCACAATCTTATACATGTTTTCTCACAAATATGTTCTATAGATTTCTAGGAGCCATACTCTTAAGTAGCTGGGTGAAGGACTGCAGCCTTAATTATTTTTAAAGGTGATATTTTCTAGTTCGGTGGGAAGAAAAACAGAAAAGAGAAGAAAAGAGAAATGAAAAAAAAGAAGAAAAGCAAATGAGTGACACTGAATTGTGTTTAGAACAATTCTACGACCCTCTTTGTTAATTTACTTTGCTAAATAGACACGCAGTACTGTATAGCCAGATGCAAATATCTATCCTGGGCTTTCCAGCACATAATGAGCCAAGAGGCTTTATTAGCTTATGTGCAGCAATGATTCTGCAATTCTATTAATAAGAATTGTTTAACCTTTTGAACGCCGATGTAAATACTAGGTAATGATGTGTTCTGAATGTAGCATTGTATAAGTTCAGATCAGATATGTGGGGTTATAAGATCCAGCAGACAACAGTGAATTCAGGTATTTGGAAGCAAGAACTGAAGTAATCTTAAATAAGGTAGACCTCTTATGTTCTGTTGGAGGGGACTGGGAATGTTACTGGACTACAGCTCCCATAATCCTTCACTATTGGTTCTGCTGATGGGAGCTACACCTTTGTTGGTTGTTCAAGGGCACAGAGATTCTACACAGCTTTCTGATTAAAATAGTTAAAAGCAGAATAAATTCTACTGTAGTACTAAACATCAATTAAACATATTATACTATTAAGACAACCACTGAACTGAAACAATTTTAATTACAACAGAGAAAAATAAAAATCCTGAAAGTCTTGTTAAAAGCCTCTTCCTCACAGGTTAGCCAAGAGCTTCCCATAAGGATCTTTGCCTACCATCTAAACACATATCTGTGAAGTCAGTGGTTCCAAAGTTCTCAGAACCTTGATGGTTTTTTAAAATTATTTTTGAAAAACCCCAAAGAAATGATAAAACAGCTTTTACCATGTCATGAAAGGCATAGGGGAAAGTTCTAGAAGTAATACTTGAAATTTAAAATAAAAGTGTTGGAGCAATTTTTAACATCACAATCCTTCCAAGTAATGACGTTCAATTTTTTAAAATCATACTGAAATATCTTGCTTTGTTTTTACAAATAATGGATTGTAGTTTAACTTTTCACTATCTTTTAAATTTTCCAAACTTCTTACTGTTTGCATAGATAAATATTTGCAAGGTTGTTAGCTCAAAATATAAAGATGCATTTTCTTGTTGGCAAGGGAATAGCTTTACAATATTTTTTCAAACATATGTCAAAAGTCACATATGACTGAATGTTTCTTTTATTCCCCTGCCCATTTTATTCCCCTATGATCCATTTATTTTATCTGAGAACGACTGCTTCAAAAGGGAACAAAGAAACCCCAAGAAAGGACAGGATTATGTATATTCTTGGCTTTATAGGCATAAGGTTGGATTCCAACAGCTTCCTGTACCCAAACAGACTCAGGTAGCAATTAAACAAGAAACAGAACATTTTATTGACATGGCTTCAACACAATCGAAGGCTGCGATCACATGGATAAAAAATGTGGGAAATGGTCCAGGATTGGGATAGACTGATTCTGATTTTTTGCTTTGACCATATGATGCAAGGGGAAATGTGAATCACCCTGGAGGTTCCTCCCACATCCATAGTTTTTGCCTCTACTCCTCAGGCTACAACTTTTTTTAAAAAAAATTGATGACTTACATCAGCTCGATTATGTGATCACTTGAACCAATTCAGAACCTCCTCTCCCAGCACACACCTACAGCTTCTCCTCTCACTGTCAGCCAGACTCCTATTCTTTTTTTTTACAGCTTAAGAACAGCACTTATCTCCATCAACAAGTTTTCTTTTTTTAAAAAAAATAAATAATAACAAGATGCACTGTCAGCCAGACTCCTATTCTTTTTTTTACAGCTTAAGAACAGCACTTCTCTCCATCAACAAGTTTTCTTTTTAAAAAAAAAAATAATAATAATAACAAGATGTGGAAATTGAGGAAGGAAAGTCTTATTTACAACTGATTAGGTTGCTCCTTGGTAATGGTGCCACCTGCAAGACTATAAATAGAACTCCAAGCAAGCTGCAAACAAGGCCTGTGTGGCTAGTCAATGTAAAGAGATACAGGGAAACCCGATTTCCCTGATGTGACCTCACAGCGGGTGAATGTAAGTGAATTCGCATTTCCTAAAGCTGATTTACTCACAGCATTAAGTTCTTTTTGTTGCTCATCTCTTCTTTAACATTTCAGTGAACTCTGTTAGAAACATATTCCCTCTGCATTACATCATTCCACACTTCTTCCCTCTCAAAAACCAAATATCTCCTGAATGGTTTAGTATCCCCCCCCCTCTCTTTTTTCTCTCATCTTCTGACATCAACCTCTTACTCTAACTCACTGATTCCAACTGTCTTTGCCTTTCTCAATCCCCTCTTCACAACTTTCGAAAGGTTGTGATAGGCTAAGCCAATGAAAGGGCTCTTTGTCACAACATGTCATCTGTTTCCTCACTGAAATAGATTATTTTTCTTACTGTAAATGCATCACTTATTTATATTCAAATGTGTATTGCATGCTCATGCTCTGTGAATCTAATTGCAAGCTACTTATTATGAAAACAAATGTGATATCGGTTATAACAATAAAATTGCACAGAACGATAGAGGAGGAGTACCATAGTCATACAAAACCACTAGATATCTAAGAAGTCAAGGCCACTGGTGCAATAGATCAATTATACAGGCCTCAATAGGATGGCACTCCATTGGAAAAACTTCTACAATACCATTACTGAAAGAAATAAATTTCTAATATTAGACAATTGCAGCTTGAAGAGTCTGACAATTTTGTAATTGTTCTCTAACTCAACCAATTGTTTCTGAAACCCTCTAGGTTTTCAATTCATGGGGGTGGTAATTATGGTGATATACAGACTTGATCATTTAATTTGAAACACGGCTGCATCTACTTTCTTTGTGAAACATTAGCTGTAACATATTCAAACTATTTATTCAAACCTCAAATTGAAAAGGAATGTGGGTTGCAGCCAAAAGAAAACACAGATCTTTATTTCAAAGATTTCTTATGGTCCTAGATAGAGAACAAGCCCCAAGTTCTTTAAAACCATACAATAATTTTAAAACTATTGTAGCCATTCTGTCAATGATATAATCACCACCCACTGCTTTCATTTTGTTTCATTTCATTTCATTTTGCCTGATAGCATTACGATACTTGCCGGAACACAGATTTGCTAAGAGAACAAAACACAACGAAGAATGCACTGTAACAATAATCCGCCACAGAAGAAAAAAAAAAAAGAGTATTTGATGAAGATCAAAGAGCTATCTTTGCAGTAGGGCAGAAACATGGATCAGAGTAATGGATCCTCATAAAAAGGTAAAGGTTGCCCTTGACAATTTTGTCCAGTTATGTCCAACTCTAGGCGGTGGTGCTCATCTCTGTTTCCAACCCACAGAGCTAGTGTTTGTCCACAGACAATCCTCCATGGTCACGTGGCCAGCGTGACTAGACACGGAATGCGTTTACCTTCCCACTGAGGTGGTACCTATTTAGCTACTCACTTTTTTGCATGCTTTCGAACTGCTAGGTTGGTGCGAGCTGCGATAAGCTATGGGGGCTCACTCTGTTGCTTGGATTCGATCTTACAACTGCAGGTCTTATGACTTTGCAGCACAGAGGCTTCAGCAGTTTAACCCACAGCACCACCACGTCCCTCATGCATCCACATAATTTTCATGTAGGATCATCCCCAGGCTACTGTCGAATCTATGAGCAGAGATGGTGTCTATGATTGGAGAGTGGTTT